CAGCTGAGCGTCCTTTCGGCTTTGGCCCAACCACTTCATTAGCTCTGGAGCTCCTTGTACTTGTCCTCCGCTCTTCCTCAGTAGCATGTTGGACGCCTTCTGACCTGAGGGGCTCATCTTCCAGCATCACATCTTTTAGCCTTTTGTTTCTGCCCATGGAGTTTTCTTGGCAAAGATACTGGAGTGGCTTGCCAGTTCCTGCTCCAGGTGGATTGCATTGAGTCAGGACTCTCCACTATGACCTGTCCATCTTGGGTGTCCCTACATGGCATAGCCCATAGCTTCTCTGAATGACTCAAGCCCCTTCGCCACAACAAGGCAGCAATTCGTGAAGGGGTGTTCAGCTCATACAATGCCATAATACATAAGATTGACACCTTATAAATTAGCTGTATGGTTCCTTTTGCCTACTTATACATTTCCCATATAGCGCTATGCACCTATACCTGCAATGTAGCGCTATGCAGCTGCTCTGTTTAACCTCATTTTCTTTGGGTACCCGAATGAAGCCTCACGCCGTGCGAATCTGGCCTGAGATCTCGCTCAGAAAAGAGAGCGGAACACTTCCTTCATTGTTGACGCCGTATTTATTTATTTATTTCTGGTCCTTCCCCCCCCCTCCCCCCCTTCCTCGGCGACCTTTAGCTCTGAATCACCAAAGTGTCTCCCGATGGTTTCCCAGGCTGGCCAGCTTCCTCTGCACTGGGGTGATTGGAATCTCTTAATTAATTCCCCTTTCGCGACCTGATGTTTGGGCTGCTCGGGCATCCTAACGAACGGGAAGGCATTGTTGTTGCAAGGGGCGAGCTGAGAGCGGGGATCAAACTGGGTCATAACTGTTGGGCTGGCGACTTGGAATGCAGGCCCGATGGCGGGCGGCGGCTGACCATGACTAATGACCCTGATTTGGGGCCAGCGCAGGAAACTGGCCAGGGAATCTGAGCCCAGAAGGTCACCCAAAAGCACCCCGTCTTGCCGTTAGCTCCGGGAGCGCATGGGATCTGTTGGCCTCAAAGCCCCTTTCACGAAAACATGGTCCTGGCCGGGCAAATGAGTGAAGATCCCTCTCACACATATGTAACGGGCAACTGTTTTCTCCTGGTGGCTACTACGTGTGGCACGTATTCTCCCCAGGACTTGAGGAAAAACTGGTGGCTGACGTCCGTATGTGAGGCAAGGGGTTGTTTTCTTGTCCAGAGATTTCTGCCCTAGAAGTTAAAATGTTCGGGGAACTTTATCACGACTAAGAAAAGGGCTTTTAAGAAATCGTCGTGGGGTTTACAACCCACAAAATGTGCTCTTCAAGTGGGTTTTGAACATTCCTGCTGGGTTTTATGGTTTATAAATTTCTGTTTGATTTGCTATGATGATGATGATTTACCTGGGTTGGTTTAAATTTTGGGGCCCCAGTGTGGGGGAAATGGTTATAAACCAGTGAAATAAATATTTCCAAGAAGCTGGGAAGCCAGTGTTCTTCAAACGCAAGGTTCCCGGCACGATCAACCGAAGGAATGTCACCACTGTGAGCGTTTGATTATTGATTCCTTATCACCAGCTCTTATTTTGGTTTAGGACAGGATTTCTGAACTGGTTCAAGCACAAAGGCCTCTGATAGCGAGATTTCAGGTAGACCAGCCCATCCATACTTATTGACGGTGGTGTCTAAGGATAGATACTCTGTACTCCATGGCAGTCTACCTGCAAGTAGCAGGCACTGAGAGTTGGATGGCTGGGGAGGTTTGGAGTCATGCCCTGGTTTTTTTTATCATCATCATCATCATCATCATCTTGGGGAAAGTAGGCTGCTGAGTTAGGTAGACGCTTTTGGTTTGACCCCCGTTTCAGGCTGTTCTTACAAAGTTTCGGATCACCATATTTTTCCGTGTATAAGACGCCCCCCCTTTTCTAATCCAAAATTTAAGAAATCTAAGTGGGGCTTAGCAAGTGTAGGGGAGAAGGGATCAAAGCACTGCAGGATCGCTCTGATCCCTGCTTTGCCCTCCACTTGTTTTTGTTCTCTCCTCAGCTTACTTCCGTGTATGAGACGCCCCTCAATTTTTAGTCTAAAGATTTTAGACAAATTATAGTCTTATACACAGAAAATACGGTAGATTACATTTGTGGATCTTTGAGAAATTAAAAGGTCAAGAAAAGGCGAAAGGCAGACCTCCAGATGCAGTTGGACTACATCTCCCAGCGTCCTTCGCCCTTGGTTGTGTTGGCTAAGGCTGATGGGAGTCATGGGCTAAGAACGTCTTTCAAGCTTCCCCGTCACTCGCTCGGTTCTGCTCTCAAAAACCGTACCTGTGGAGGGGAGCCATCATCCCTTCCATGCTGATGCTGATCCGTGGTCACCCCACAACAGCTCTGCCTTCTCTCATGCTCTCCTTCTCCCGGCTTGGTAGATCTTTTTGAAGCGGTGCTGCCCATCCTGCCCAGTCTCGAAGAAGCGGGCGTGGCCGTGTGGGTGCTGGGCCCCGGGAACTACCCTCCTGGAGTCACCAGCCTGGACAGTCTGTTGGATGATGCCTCGGACCAACCGGTCCCCTCCGAACTCTCTGCCCCGGAGAACTGGAACGACACCTGCCTTTACATCTTCACCTCTGGGACCACAGGTAGGGTCTTCACCCACCGTGGTGGGTGAACTCAGGTGTTCTAGGACTACCACTCCCAGAAGACTTTTCACCAATTCCCTGGGCCGGCCAGGAGTTCTGGGAGTTGTAGTCCAAGAACCTCTGGGGACCCAAAGTTGGGAACCCCTTGTCTATATCTATGGTGGGCATCACGAAGCCCTCCAGATGTTCTTGAAGACCATGTCAAGACAACTTGGGTGCAGAGCTTCTGACTTGGAGCACCTCCATCCACCCTCTTTCCTTTCCCCTCTCTCTCTAGGGCTTCCCAAGGCAGCGCGGATCAGCCACCTAAAAGCCGTCCTGTGTTTAGGATTTTACGACCTGGTGGGGGCGTCCAGCTCGGACGTGATCTACGTGGCCCTCCCTCTCTACCACATGGCCGGCGGCCTTCTGGGAGTCATGGGGGCTTTCGGCATCGGTAGGTTGGTCGGTCGCGGGCGGGATTCCCTCTTTTCCTCTTCAAACCGGCAGGGTGGTTGGACGGAGAAAGAAGGAAGAGGAGCAGGTGGAAAGAGAAAGACGGAAGGCCTGGCCCCCGAAGGAGCGTGGGATTTCCCGAGGCTGCTGTCTTGGGGATCCGGGTTTGCTATTAAAGGGTATAAGGTTCGCTATTAAAAGAGTGTTTGCTGTTATCCGCCTTTTTCAGCATCCGCGGAAGGGCTTGGAAGCGGTACCCCGTGGATACGGAGGTCCTCTTGTACAGCAAGCCTCATTGTAATGCTGTGGCTAATACACCACACTGTGTCAGATGCCTTCTTCAGCAAATTAAGCAGCAGCCATCTGCTGGCTTTATTTGGGCCCTGTCCCTTCTTTCTGGCTCAAGACTCTTCTCTTGCTAGGTGCCACCTGCGTGGTGAAGAAGAAATTCTCTGCCAGCCAGTTCTGGCCGGATTGCCGGCGCTATGGTGTGACCGTCTTCCAGTACATCGGGGAGCTATGCCGCTATCTCGTCAACCAGCCGCAGGTGGAGTACCAGGAGGGACCGGGGGGGGGAGAGCGCAGGGGGCTCTTCGAGGCTGGCGGGTTGTGACTTTTCCTGATTCGGTGGCTCCCCTCCAACTCCCAGGTGCCCATGTTTACTCTCTCCCCCAGAGCCCGCAGGATCGAGAACACAGCATGCGCATGGCGGTAGGGAGCGGGCTGCGGCCGAACGTCTGGCGGGAGTTCCGTCGCAGGTTCGGGGAGGTGCGGGTGGTGGAGACGTACGGCATGACGGAAGGCAGCGTCACCTTCTTCAACTACACCGGCACGGTGGGCGCTGTGGGCCGTTCCTCGTGGCTTTATAAGGTGAGGTCCGTGGGCCGGGACGCCCTGTGCGGGCAGAGCGTGGCGGTCTGAAAAAAAAGGGTTGGATGGCATCTCCCATCAGCCCCACCTAGTACAGCCAGTGTCGAGGAACGCTGGGAATCATAGTTCCTCGCCTTTGCTCCCACCACTAGCCCACACTGCCTCTGATTATCATCATTCTCCCCCACAGATCTTTAGCCCCTTCGAGGTGATCCGATACGACGTGCCCCAGGGAGCGCCGATAAGGGATGAAAATGGACGGTGTCTTCGTGTCGCCCCGGGTGAGCCAAGAGGGCCCGTTCCCAGTGGCAGGGAGTTCCAAAGGACACAATCCTGTTTTTCTCTCTCCCCCCAATTGATAATTCTGTCTTTTCTTGCTTTCGGGCTACAGGCGAGCCAGGACTCCTGATCGGGCCAGTGACGCCCCAGAAGCCCTTCTTGGGCTACGCCGGAGGGCAGGAGCTGTCCGAAGCCAAACTCCTCCACAGCGTCTTCTCCGAGGGGGACACCTATTTCAACAGTGGAGACCTGATGGTGCTGGACGGCCGAGGGTTTATCAGTTTCTGGGACCGCATCGGAGACACCTTCCGGTACGCTTCTGTTTTGTGCTCCCGTGAGATATTTTCTCAGGAGGGAGGACGTTCTTTCCTGCTGCGTGTCTGGCCTTTAGCGTGCAGGGAGACCCAAAAGGAAACCTGAAGCAGAATTTGGAGATGTTACTTCCTGACTAGGAGTTGCATAACTGTCCCAGAAGTGTCGGGAGACAGAGCGTCAGACTTTTATGGTCTAGACATATTCCAGTTCACAGTTGGGGCAGAGTTAATGGGAAACAGGTTTAAAATGGTCTGCTTCTTTCTGTCTGAAGCTGGTAAGGGAGAAGTTGCATTACTAGAGTCATGAAGACTCGAACACACGTTCCCCATAAAATGGGAACTGCGCTGGAAGTTTTGCAGCTTAAACTAGTGGCAGCACACTCTTGTTAGGATTGGAGGAATTTCTCGTTTTCCTCTGTCGCCCCCAAATATGCTCTAATTTTCCTCTCCCTTGCTGCCCCCTTTCCCCAAGCTGGAAAAAGTTCCTTTTTTCAACCCCAACTTCCTGAATCCCATATCCAGTGCTAGATTTCCCTCTGCCTCAGTTTCCTCCTTGTTTATTCTCTTCCGTCTTTGTTTTCCTCTAAGCCCCTTCCTGAATCAGTTTAGTCATGCTTTACTGACTAATATTTTGAATCTCATGTTATTCGTTCAATTGTTGAGTAAATTCACTGTGTTTAGCTTTAATATTGTGTTTTCACGGTGTAAAAGGCTCCTTTCTGAGGAGAAAGGCAGGGTAAAAAAATCAAATAAATATAAACTATTTTTAAAATATTTTAAATAAAGAAATCATCTCAGTTTTCCGATAAAGTTTTGTCTGCCTTCCTGCCCTCTCTTGGTGTTTTCTGTAGCTCTTGGTCATTCGTTCGTTCATTCATTCATTCAATTTATATATCTAGCCAACGTTTACAACAGGAACTGACAAAAAAATGGTAAAATCATAAGCAGCTCAAATCATAAAACAAACTAAACAATAATCGGATAATTAAAATGCATTCAACAATACAATCTAGAAGCTCTGTTGGACCATTTTTTTCTATTTTTATTTTTGCAAAGTGTAAACCCTTTTAAATGTTTGCAGTCATTTTAGGAAAGCTTTCTTTGAGGAACCTTTTTTTGGGGGGGGGACACGACCCATCTGAGGCCAAATATACTGTATCTATAATATATCTACATTTATATGTTTCTTAACCTTTTTGTTTTTTTAGTTCACCACAAGGGGGCACACGCTGTTAAAGCATGTTTCTCTGAGGGGAAATTTGGAAGAAAAAAGAGAATATTCTCTCCAGTTGCTTCAGAGTCACAAAGGAGGAAGAATTTGTTTGCAAATCCACCGAACAAGCAAAACGATCCTCAAAAATTGCTTTTTTAAAAATGAAAAACCAAACAGATTAAAGATTCTTAAATCTACAGCCAGGCAGTTCTCTAGCTAGAACTGACTAAATATGCCCTCAGATTTATGCAAGATCTCTAGGCTTGCTGTGTTGGATGTGCTCTGTGGCTTGTTCGTGGCTCGTTCAATTTTTTTGGAGTATAACCCCTAAACATCCCCTTTTCTCCAATCAAAACGCAGAACTTGGGCTTATGGGGTTCTGGGATTTTCTCGAAAAGAAAGCCCCGTTTCCGAGCAGCGTCGTCAACAGGTTGCTCTGCCCCGCAATACGTCTTAACCCTGTACCACTCTTCCTCCGTCACTATCACAGGTGGAAGGGGGAAAACGTCGCCACAACGGAAGTCAGCGAGATTCTGGGCGCCTTGGAGAGCCTGCAAGAAGTCACGGTCTATGGCGTCACCGTCCCAGGTACCCTCCACTGAGGGAGTGCCATTGAGGGTCAAGGTAGAAGCAGTATGGGGAGAGGGGGCCCTAAAATATAATTAAACAATGGGTCAACAAAGTTCTCTGCCTGGCCTTTGAGATCATTGCCAGCTTCCAGCAGCGCCCCCTTGGGGTAATACGTGTCAAAAGCTTTGGAGCTTCTGCAGTGTTAATTAAAAGTTTCCTGCTTTGACCCTTCTAGGGTACGAAGGCCGGGCCGGGATGGCGACGGTGGTGCTGCAGCCGGGCCACGAGTTCAACGGAGCCGAACTCTACACACACGTGACGGAGCTTCTGCCCCCCTACGCTCGGCCCCGCTTCCTGCGTATTCAGGTAAGGAGATCTTGTCCTCCCTGTGGTTTCCCACGGTGGGGGAGGGGAGCGCCGGGGAGACTGGGGTGTACTACACCTCCCATCGTCCCCAGGCAGCTCCTGAACGGGGAGCGCTGGAAGGATGTTGCGCTGTCTGTTACGTTACAGATTTTTCCATGTTCCAGAACAGGCAAATGATGGGCTCTGGCCATGTACGGCTCTCTGAGGATCTGCAACTTTATTTCCAGAAAAATCTTGTTTTCTGCTGCAGGAATAAGGATTTTGCAGGAAAATGGGAGTGCCACCCCCTCAAAAAAAAAATTAAGGGGAAGCACCAGTGCCCCCCACCGGTAACGCGGCCTCTTTCTTTTCCCCTCAGGAGCGCCTGGAGGTGACGGAAACCTTCAAACAGAAGAAAGTTCGCCTCGCGACTGAAGGATTTGACCCCGCGCGGATCTCGGACCCCCTCTTTTTTCTGGACGAGGCCGCCAAGACCTACGTGCCCCTCAGCCTGGGCATTTGGGAAGGGATTGTCTCTGGGGGCATCCGGTTGTAACCCACGGATGTCCCCCCCCCACACCTGTAAGCACCCCCATCCTGGTGTGTGCCATGCATGGGGGGGAACGGAGGGAGCAGTGCATGCTGGGAGCTGGCGGTCCCTTCCGCCTGCGCCTCAGCCTTTAAAAAAACCCAGGCTGGCTTTTTAGCCTGGCCCCTCCCTCTCCCTGATGACTCCGCCCCCTTTGGAAGCCCCGCCCATGCCGCAGGGCGATCTTGCTCGCCTGCTGGGGCTTTACCGCCGTGATTACCCCCCCCCCCCCATTTCCCCCCCGCGCCGGTCCCTCTGCAAGGACCAGCCCGGCCATTAGGTAGAGCCAGGCTTCTGCCTCAGGCGGTAGATATGGAAGGGGTGGCACCCCCTCCCTCCAATCTTCCTGACCCCTTCCCTGGACTTTAATCTCTTTGCTGGTTGAAACACTTGTGCGTTCAGACACGTCCCTCTTCGCCACGGGGGAGCCACGCTGATAAAGCTGGTGGGTCTCCGAAACTTCCCTGGAAGCCCATCTCACCCTCGCCAGCCCACCTCGGCGCACGACCTCAGAGACGACAAAAATGAAAAGAATTAGAGTCAAAACTAGAAGTTGCCATTTCCTGATTTTTTAATATTTTGGGACCTCGTGCTGAAACCACCTCTCCTTGAAGCCCCCATGAGCACGAATCCATGCTTGTCTATTCACCCTATATTTAATTTTTTTGTTTGCACGAGGGAGGTGGGATTCCCCCATGGAGATGAGGAGGTGCAGAAAGCGCCGGGGTGTGTGTGTCCAGAAGCATCTTGACGCCCCCCACCCCAACGGATGACATCGCTTCAGGGGATTGTTGAGGGAACCAGGAAGTTGGGTTTCCACCCCACCCGGTAATTAGCCGGGCCGGTTCTGCTCGTCAAGGGGGTAGGGAAGTGCTCTGATGTGGCTTCGTAGCTGGCGGGAATCACCAAGCGGGGCCAGGTCTTCTGAACGGCCAACGTTGAGGCTGGTGCTCTGGTGGCATCGGCGAGCCCCGTTAGGGTCGGGAGACCAGCATGGCATGCGGGACGGAGCAGCTTTCGTTCCTCGTAGTTCAAGCCGGAGTGGCCGACGCTGGGTTTTGAACCGAACACTGGAGAGAGTTCGCTAGAACCAGTTCCCCAATCAGAAGCTCCAAGCATCTTAACGTGGCTGCCCAAGGAGTGTGTGTCTCTCTGAAATTACACCCAACGCCTGGGGAAATTTACTTTCTGGTTTTCTAAAGAAGCTCCGAGCATCTTAACGTGGCTGCCCAAGGAGTGTGTGTCTCTCTGAAATTACACCCAACGCCTTCCGAAACTTAGCCTGGAGCAGTGGAGACACCACCAGTTGTAAGAAGACCCTTCCAGAGTTTGACTCTGCCACCCCTCCTCACCGATCCTCCAGGTCCCACGAAGAACGCCGGCCTACCTTACAAGAGTGTCACGCAGCTGGCTCGGATAATGCTTAGCATACCGCCGGCGCGGATCACTGGGATGTTTTCGGGAAAACCGGGAGGTTGAGTTTTGGACTCTTGAGGCTCTTTGGCTCTACCTCGGTGGGACGGGCTGCGGCCAGCTTTATTCCCCGGGTGGAGGGAGTTGAGGGAATGACGAATCAAAGCCACAAAATGTGTCATCCTGCTGTTGTGATTTTTCTAAAACTTTTTTCTACTCTCAGCATCAAATAAACACCCTTTTTTTTTGTATCAGTCCGGCTGCCGTTCTGTTTCCCGCCTGTCTGTTTCTCTATCCATGGGGTGATGGAACAGTAGATCCGTGGATCAATTTGGGTAATGGATCGATCGTCCGGTGGGCTACCTCTGAAGCCCGAGGGGGGCCTTTTCCCTGTCTCTTTCAGTCCTTAGAAGGGTGCGGGTCCATCCGTCTTCACCAGCACCCCCAAATAAGTGGTCTCAAAATTCAAGTTGCACTCTGGACATTTCTGGTGGGAGAATCAGAGAATGACAGGGTTGGACGGGGGCCCTCGAAGGCCATCAAGTCCAACCCCGTGCTCAAGGCAGGAACCCAAATCAAAGCAGATCGGACAGACGGAGGTCCAGTTTTCTCTCGAAGGCCTCTCCAGCGCTGGAGCGCTCACCGCCCTCCGAGGCCATTATTTCCATTGTCGTACTGCTCTAACAGTTGAAAAGTTGTTCCTGATCTTCAGCTGAAATCTGGCTTCCTATAGCTCGAGGCGTTTATGACGTGTCCCTCACTCTGGGGTGATCGTGGACAGATCCTGCCCCCTCTTCTGTCGGACTCCCTTTCAAGGATTTGAAGAGTGCTCTCCTCTCCCCTCAGTCCTCTTTTCTCGAGGCCAAATGGTCTCATCATCTTCTCCCTTTCGTCTTCAGACACTCACAGGCCATTGGTTTTTCTACCCATGATTTAAACTATTTACTGCTTTTATAATTGCTTTGATGGCTCGATCGCCCCGTGTTGGGCGATCAAAGAGAAACCGATTTATTAAAACCATAAGCCAATTTCCGTCGTTTGTGACTTTGAATCGTGTGCTCAGAATTTCAACCCTGGTGCTTTTCCTGAATCCGAGGCTCGCCGGTGGGTTCAGGGTTTTAATCCCCAGCATCGCCCCCGTGCCTGCTTTCCGGGGAGTGGGGATGATGGGCGTTGTGGTCTGCTACTATGACCTGGGAAAAAGGCTGCGTTTCCCTCTTGTGTTTCATCTTAAACCGTTCGCTTTCCTTTAAACCTGGATTTACTCTGTGCCTCATAATTCCAGATGGAAACTCTCCCCCCCCAAAAAAACTTTGCATGATGGGGGTGGGTGGGTTGTGGGTTGTTTTACTCTCCCTCCATCACCCCACCGCATTTTCCCTTCCCCCAAAAGATGGGGCTGATGGGCGACCCACAACTGAGTCCCTGGAGGCTTACTGGAGCAGTAAGGGAGTCCGAGGGCCATCTTCCACACCAGGGCATCTTTATTCATGAGCCTCTAATCCCCAGGCAGCAGCTTTGGTGGGGGGATGGGATAACCAAGATGGAAATGGGACACAAACACACACACACACACACCCTCACTGAATTCCCTGGTGCGTATGGCCTGCAAATTCAATTGTGCTTCGGCGAGACAGAGTTTGCTTTGCAACGCACACGAACACACGCACACAAAAAGGACCGGCTTAGACGGTGGATCAAGGTGGGAGCCCTTTGGACGTGATCCGAGGGTCCCTTTGGGGAACAGCTTTCCTTTCCCTGCCCAGTTTGGGGTAGGCGTAGTAGTAAGGACTGAGCAAGCCTCTAAACAGAATTTCCAACCCCCAGTCACAAAAAATACAGATCATGCGCTGTGACCCCTTTTATACTTGTTATGTGCTTTATAGTGACGCCATGGACGAGCGCTCCTCAGGAGCTGTACTCATCTCTTTGGATCCCTTGTGGTTTCCTTTGGGAGTCAGTCCATCTCGTGTTCAAGGTTTCCTCTTTTCCTGCTGCCTTCCCCCCTTCCCTGGCGTGTGCGCGATTTAACCAGCTTTTAAATTAAAAAAAAGAAGCTAGAGTTTTTCCAAACTGATTAAGCGATCGGGATGATGAATTAGCACCTCGGCTTCATCTGCCTTTTCTCGCCACCCCCGAAACTCGGCTGGGGTTTTCTTCTTAGTGCTGGCCCGCCTTACAGGGCCGTCGTGAGACCTTTTGACAGAGGGAACAATGTATGTGGCTCTCAGACGCCGGGTGGGAAAGTGGGTTTTTTGAAAATTAAAATTCATTTTCAAAATTTTGTAATATATATTTTACCCCACCTTCCAAAGGACCGAAGGCGGCTTATGTTAGAGTAGTCAGACAACTAAATGGGTGGGATATAAATTCAACGAACGAACGAACGAACGAACGAACGAACGAACGAACGAAAATGGGTAGGATATAAATTCAATGAATGAATGAATGAATGAATGAATGAATGAATGAATAAATAAATAAATAAATAAATAAATAAATATTCTTAGAATGCAATAAGGCCATTTAGCGCCGTGAACTATAATGACGGTAAAGGGTCATGAGAACAACCCAATATTTGGGATGATGACTGGGATGAGGATGCTGCCTTCCCTTTAAAGGCCTATTTTAAATTATTTGGACAAGGGTTTGGCTTGAGATCCCACTGATTGGAGAAGCAAGCTTTAAAAATAAATTGTTTATTTGCCAAGATTGTGGTGCGTCCTTAGAAAAACAACCCAAACTTTCAAAAAATGGCACATTTGACGCAAGCAGAGAAATAACCCCCCCCTTTCTCTCTCTTCTCTCAGCTATTGTTGTCCTTCCAGACTTTTCTTTCCCCCCCCTCCCTTTTTCCCTCACCTCGGCCATAAAAAGGGGCCAGGGGCTCGCTGCCCCATTGTGAGGGGATAATAGGGCCAACAGCTTGTGAAAGTGACACCATGAATGGATCTGGGAGGACCAGCCCGGGAAGGGGGTAGGCCTGGTCGCCACGGGTAACCGCAGGGGCTCTCAGAGGAGTTAATAGGATAAGAGGGTCTGGAAAAGTTTTTTGGGGGGGTAGAGAGAGAGAGATGAAGTGGGACACTTCGGCCGGCCCACAGCTCAGATGCTCGGTCCTCTCCTCGGCCTTTTAAAAAACATCTTCCCGTTTACCTTGGGTGTCTCATTTCCCGTCTTTATCGCTAAAACTTCAGGGGGAGGTTCCTACAAACTTACGGATAAAGTGTGTGCAATAAACAGCAGCTACATGCCAACGGGTGGGCACGGCGGGGAAACGGGGGCCCAAATATGAATGAGCAGAAATAGGAGCTTCAGGAAACTTCTGGATGTTAGGATGATGGGGTGGCCGTTGGGCATCCTGGGTTCCCTGGATGTGTGTTTTTTTCCCCCCTGAGTGTCAAAAAGGTGATGCAGGATCCCTCACCGTTCTCTCTTTTGCCTTAAGGAGAGAATGAAGTGTTTGCATCTCGAATCAGGGAAATGGTGGCGCTCCGCCTTCCCCAGATTCAAATATTTGGCTTCAGTACCCGGGACAGCGCCCACTGAGTAACATGGATGGGGACCACCATGGTTTTCATATCTGTGTGTGCTTGAATGCCACGCTGGTGGAATGCAATGTCGCCTGATGGTTAGAGTACTGCAGTGGACTCAATATGGGACGGCCCTTGAAGAGTGTCTGGGAACTCCAACTAAGGGAAACATCGGTCGAAACTTGCTTTCTCTTTTACACCCTGTAGACCCTATAACACTGGTCCCGAACCAGACTGAGTCTAATTCAAGGGGCTGGTTTGCCACGAGTCGGAGG